AAAACCCAAGCAGCTCTAAGCCGCCTTAGTTAGGGGGAGTTTGTTGTTCGTTGCGGCTACTTCAGTCTGACGCCAGGTCATTACTTCTGTTAACACCAAGCTCACAATAGTTGTCAGCAATGCAATTAATTTTTCTATTCTATGTCAGATAAATTTCCAAAAGGCTATCTTCCCATGTGGTCAGAATTCCTGCAGAGATGCTGTGATCGAAAAGAGACCCGTTGGTTCTGAAAAAGTCGTTTTTTAAGCGTGGGGTTCGAACGATGATTTTACTGAGAACAAGACTGTCCTGACTAACAAGCTCACTAGGTTCTTAAAAAGAACTATGTGTACCCATTTAGAAGAATTCTTCACCAGAATAGTTGAATTCTACCTACATATTTCTCGGTTGTTCCAACAGAGCCGTCGGGGTATCACTGCCGGCAAAGACAAGGGAAACAGGAATGGCCATTTCTGGTTCATTATCCGTCATCAGGCAGTCATACCCAAACCCACTTAGTGCAACGACAGCCGTCTCTGGCAATAAACTAGGAAAACGTCAAGTCCTACATAGGGCTTTCTTGTGGGTATCTAGTTGGTACTTTCGTCTTATCGAAGTAACGATGAATGGTGCTGGACAGAGGCAAACGTAACAGCCGTTTTCTACTGTTGCGCCTAAATGATCTCTCTTGCTTTTCCATACCTATGGCGGCTACTTTAGTTGGTACTACGACCTAACAACAGAAGAATTTGTTGGACATTTGCATGTGAACACACAGATTTCATTTGTGTTTCAAGCCACTTATTAAAAATACTGCAATACTTGGCGTTGGTGAGGTCTTAAACCACGGTAGAATCTCTTGGGAAGTTATGCACTTGTATAGTGGCTCACCAGAGCGCGCAGGTTCAATCACTCCGGACGATCTTTACTTGTGAGAACGGTCTCCTACCTAAGTGGTACATCTAGTTAACTGCTTTTTTGCCTATATAAAGCAATTAGTTTTTGTAGAAACAAATATCAAAATCCATTCTTTAATGTTTTATGAAAACTGGCCCCAGAAAAGTTTTAGTTGTCCTGCTTGCGAACGATTTTAATAGCTAATAGCCTGGGCTCACAAAGCATGCCATTTTTTCCAAACCGACGAAAGGTTAGATGAATTCAGACACCTCCGTGAAGAATGTGCGCGTGCCTACTAACTTCATTAGAGTATAGGCTTTACACAGGCCTTCGTACCCCATCGAGGCTGCCGAGATTTCGCAAGTGGATGCGAGGAATTGTGTAAATCTGCCAGCCTTCTCTATCACTTTTAAATGTTTAAAGAACTTGAGAAGCACGTTTTAGAGAGGAAAACATTGCAGACCCTTTATGAAGCGACTAAAATTCAAGTTTTCCTTTCCACACTGTCTCGTCTGAACAATTTATTCCGCATAGAAGGTATAGCGAGAAATATTTCCTACATCTGCGTATACACTGTGAAGGCTTGGGAAAGGAAG